CAGGTAAGATATGAGTCAACAAATAGTTGGCACCGGATACAAACACGTGACCAGTGCTGAGTAAGTTCTGAAGGTATTGGAACTAAGAACGAAGATTTGAAAGGATGAGATAGGTTAGAAAAGGCACCATTTAGTGAGCAGTCGTTACAAAGAATCTCAGTATTAACGTTCGACCTTTATGCAACCATCAATAGGCGTTTTATTCTCATTCAAGAAGAGCTTGATTTGGGGATCTTGTCTCCTTGAATAGAGCTATAAATAGAAAAATTTATATCCATAGTTGGATACGAAAAATCATATGTACTCAAACAAAACAATTTGCTCTTACTTTATAAAATTATCCTCTTTCTTTTGATCTTAACTCTGTTCATATCACTGCTTCCGCAAAAGCTAGATCCACAGCCAAACTTGTATTTTTTTCAAGTTATTTTAATAATCTTATTTTTGTTCTTATTATTTTCATATTCTTGGGTCAAATAAATTCACGTTTTCATAAACCACGGTACAAATTTAATTGTACCATTTTAAAGGTAAACATTTACATATGTGCTGAAATATTTAACGAGCATTGAGTGCTGACCTTACTTGAACAAGATATGTTCTATAGGCTCTTCCCACTATATTCATAAATTCTAAGAAAATAGAAGGCCAAACCCATAAGCCGCCCCTTTAAGTTAGCTCCGCTTTTTATTTTGGCACTCCAACCCCTTATCTCATGTGCCATTTAAACACAAAATATTGACCTGTCACATTGAGTGAGCCTCATAACCCAGGTCGCGCGTGAGGCCTCTAGGAGGGTAAAAGCACTCCCCTTTTTACGGTATTAAATTTTACCGTTCGAGTCCCATTTATACTCGACTTTCCCCTACCCTTTCTCCATTATCAGATGTAAAAAAAAGCCCTAATTCTCAAAAAGCTCAATCTCCATGAATATTCAAAGGCTGTTTTTTCTTTTCTGCAGTTTGTCGAAGCTTTAGTCTAAATTAATAGGAAAGTGAACCCTATTGTCCTAATTTGTTAGTTGATTCATCTTCTTCCCTGATTTTTAACTCAAACTCTATAGCCCTAATTTGTTAGTTACTTCTTCTTCTTTCCTGATTTTTAACTCGAACTCCATAGCCGTAGCCATGTCGGAAAGAGAGGAGACTTCTCAAAAGTGATTGGATATCTGTTGTTGTGGTTTTGCATCAAAAACAGCCAGACTAATAGCTGACGAAGTCACATAAGCGACTGGACTCCGAAAAGGAGCTTCAAGAGGTTCCAACCTAGCCTTAACGCAGAAAGGAAAAGAGGTCACCAAAAGTGGAAAACAAAACAACACCAAATTGATCATGTAACCCCCAACAACAGAAATGATAAATATAGCATAGAGAGAGTAAAGAAAATCAATTACCCATATAGTAAAATAATGGCTAATCAGTGGTAAAATTCGGTAGAGCCAAACAACGAGCACAGGCAAAACAGTTTAGAAGGTGTTTGGATGGGCTTTTAAGCTGGTTAAATCAACTTTTAATCTCTTTTTAGATTTTTTCAATATTTAGAAAAGTTAAAGAGTGCTTAAAATAAGTTAAAAATTACTTAAAACAAGCCAAAAATAATAAGCTGGACAATTCCAACTTATTGCTTTTTGGCTTAAAAGCTATTTATGCTGAAAACCCACTTTTTTTAAGCCAATCCAAGCTCTTAATTTTACCGGGTGCTGGTTATTTTTCACGGGTACGGGTTCATATTTTCTGGTGGGGAATTACGGGATAATAAATCCAATTGGCAGTAAATAATTCGTTAGCTTTACACGTTTACAGCGGTTATGAACACGCGCCTGAGTTATAAAGGGTTGGAGTGTCAAAATAGAAAAGGTCTGAGTAGGGATGCCAAAATGAAAAACGAAACCAACTTAAAGGGGCCGCTAATAGGTTTATCAAATCTGGTTAATGAATCATGATCATCAGACTAGAGCGTTATTAACAGAAGGTCATGGAGCCGTAAAGATCGTTCTAAAAAATGAAGTAGCAAGATCAGTAGCGTACATAAAATAAATTAGCGTGAGCAGTATCGATCAATTGTTACATGAATTCAATTTGAACACGAGTTTGAACAAAAACAGTTTACATATTATACATAAATAAATTATTTTTTAAGAAAACTATAAGTGAAATATTTCGACAAACTAGTGCTAGATTACACTCATGAGATAAAGCTAAGTCTCTTTCTCTGACAATGGCATATAATGATATTGGCAAGAGTCTCATTCATATTTGGTTGGATACTTAAATTCCTCGGTTCATCTTATGTTTTAGGTGGAATAGCATCTTTTTTCTAGCTATCCTTCATTCAAGCATGGGACAAGCATTATAAAGATTGAGTATATTCAACATGTGTGGATTTGAATCTTATAATCCTCTAATATAATTAAAAAATTAATGAAAAAAAAAACGAAAAGAAAGGGGAAGATCAGTAATTTGTTTCCAATATATTGGACGTTTACGACTCCTTAATTAGGTTTAAGTTACAGCCCCACCATTTAGTCCTAAAGGCAGATAAAGTCAAATGTGAAGAAGTTGGACTCACTGGCGATGTAGTAAGAGGCGGCAAATAGTTACCTAAGTGGGACATAGTTGTGGAATCAAGTCCCACATCCCAGCAAAATAGACACTCCTTTACTTGGGAGCCAATTTTGAATAATATCAAAAGGGGATTCAACTGCTATATAAGAGTACAAACAAAATAAAAACTATTTCCAAGGACAAGAGAATGACGATGTTATATATCTATATTACTATAATTAATATCATAATGCAGAGAATTTTAAACGACAATTAAATTTAGTTTATATTTGATTTCCCATGAAGTAGTCAAAACTCGGCCTTATAAGCTCTTAGGTAGATATTTCATCTGCTCCTTTAAGTCTTGACCATTTGATACAAGTGTGGAGAATTGTATGTTATATGTTCATAAAATAATTCGATAATTAAGTGAGTCAGGTTGTATTAAAATGTTAAATCACGGGTGAATTATAAATTACTATTCTTCAGATTATATTTTACTCTAATGTGGGGTAATACGATGAGTTGCTTAAGGTGAAAATTTAATATATAGAGAGAGAGAGAATATTGGTGTTCTAGGATTTAATTTTTTTTCTTCAAAAAGGATAGTCTGCACAGACTACAATAACTCAGAGATGAAGTGACTAAACAATTGGAGTTGGCCTCCTTAATGAAATAAATACCCATCCAAAAACCGTCTTCAGAAATATGCACTTGAGATAATTAATTGCAGTAATATACAGGGGCAACTTTACCCCAAATAATACTTTCTGCTGTTTCTTTACCCCTTAACGATAAACTCTTTATTGTCATTAAATTGAAATTAGTAATTCGACTCATGAACATAAAATCTGTTATTGAACAATAACTATTGCTTCATACTTAATTAACAATATAGTACGATAATGACCATGACTTCGAATGTCAAATGGGAAATAAGAAGAATTATCTCCTTCTAGTTATGAAATACATTACCCCAAAAACAATGTATTGTGAGAACTTTCCATTTACCCTAGCGCCACATACTTTCCGAAACAATTTTTAATTAATAAGATATTTCTTTTCACAAAGTTTTTCTATAAATTATATTCAACTCCAAAACAACTTGTTCATATCAACAACAACAATAAGATATTCAGTGTATTCTCACAAATGGGGTCTAGGGAGGGTAATATGTACGCATACCTTACTCCTATTTCGTAAAGGTAGAGAGGTTGTTTCCGGTAGACCTTTGGCTCAATAAAAATAAAATCATAGCAGTTATGATAAAGAACTACGAAAAGAAAAATAGTAAAAACAGCCAAAAAAATAAAGTCGAAGTAAAGGAAACATCAGGTACAAATAGTGATCTAAAAATAGAAAATACGAGGATAACACTAATACTACAATTATGTCATGTGTGATCACATCTCCCCAATACTTCTTTGGTCTACTTCTACCTCGCTTCCCAATACCTTTTCCACCACACAGACCACTCTCACCTTATCCCAAAATATCTTCATTCCTAATCATATCTCTCATAGTATGTCCACACATTCATCTCAACCTCCTCATTTTCGCAACTTTTAACTTCTGAACACGTTGATATCCGTGGATAATAATCACTTAAAATGATAATTATATTAGTATATTAAAAACACACTAAATTATGGTATTAGATAGTAAAAGAAATTTCAATACTATATATATAATGGATATATGATTCTATTAACATATAGTCCAAGCTATACTCCGGTTTTTTTAAACATGGTTTAAATATTTATCTCAGCTGCATGTGCTGATTTTTTCCCATTTTTAAGAACTTTCTCAAGCGCTAATTTATTTAGAGTTTTCCTACACTATTATTAATTCTCCTCTTGCTCTTCTAGATCATTGTCATGTGAAAAGTTACTACTAGTATACGTAACAAAGTATCTTAATTCGAAATTAAGTTTAACTGCATAGCAATTGAGTTAACATAAATTTGTAAGTTCACGCATGTTAGCGTATGTGCAAATTTCCATTTTCTTATTTAATTCTTGTACTAATTTTATAAGAATTTAATTTATGTATATTGACAGTGTAAATATTTTTTCATTATCGATGCATTTTAGTCAATTATACCATACATATTTACTGCATTTTTACGTTACTGTATTATGATTGTTGTACGATGTTATTTGTTATTAATTTATTATAGATAATCCCAATATGATGGTAAAAAAAAATTATAGAAACATAAGTTAAATTCTTTTTCTAAAATAGTGATAGTTTAAACAGCTCATATGTCCCACTAATAAACAAGTTTGCCAAAGAATTACAAGCCCCCAAAAGGTCTTACCTTTGTCAATTGCTCCTCTTAGTATATATATATAAACATTGATTATCTTTCAATTTCAACAAGTTATCAAATAGTACAACCTAGTACGACCTCTCCCCCCACCTCTCTGTATAGATCTTGAATCAAGAAAACCCAATATGCAGCTGGTTCAAGATTATATTGAAGAATCAACAGCGGATAACGTTGAGCCAAGATTAATGCGGGGAATGGAAGGTGAAGTAGATGAAGATACACTTTCTTTATGTGATTTGCCCATTTACAGTAGTTTTGACTCTGCAGAAGTCGAGGAGGAGTTTAATAGTGAATCACAAAGCTCAAATACAGTTTCATCTGATTACTTTGAGTTCTTTAGTGAAGAATTGATGACCAAGAATAATCAGCTTCCTGAAAACATCATTTTCTGTGGAAAACTCATTCCTTCCAGAAAACCAAATATCTCAGAAAACCCCCTCCAAAATCTTGCCAAAAGCCGACCAAAAAAGCACAAAAAGTGGTACTACCATTTTCAGTGTATCATCTCTCTTCCATTTTACAAAAGAAACAGCAGTTCAAGAAAAAGAGATAATGGTGGCTCTTATAATTCTGGTTCATTATCCATAAAAGAGGAGGAAGAAGTGACAACCGACGAAATTAGCAGTGATCAAATATCCATAATCCCATCACCATTACCATCATCTTTATCATCATCTTCATCAGGGAGGAAATCAAGATGGTACTTATTCTTGTTTGGAATAACAAAACTTCCCACTCATAAGATGGATTTAAGTGACCTAAGGAATAGGACAAGTCGTCGTCAAATTCAATCATCCATTTCCTCTTCATCTTCGTCGTCGTCTGTCACATCGACAACGTCATCTTTACAACTCACAAAAAATGGTGATGAAAATGATGGAGGAAGGGATTTTTGGTGGGTGGTTAGGGCGTTGAGTTGTGGCGGCAGCCACCATGCACAGGCAATGGTTAATGCATCTATTGGTTGCTTTAACATAACATGACTAAAATGTGACTATTATTTGAGTGTTGCATGGCACGTTGAGTTTGACTAGGCCTTAGGCTGCTCAATTTATTAATCTTGAATTATTAGTAGTTGGTACATAATTCCATTCTTGTTGTATTATCTTGTTTTGTCCTGCCAAAAATTAAGGCAATTGTCGTTTTCATTGCTGGTTTTGTCATTTTTCAGAAGTGTTGGATTAATTGGTTAGTTCACAATATGATACTCAATAAAGTTGATGAATTTTCTTCTTCTTTTTTATTTTCTTCTCAGTGTGGAGTCTAACGAGTTTCTTTTATTGTTATTGCATAATTAGTTTTACCAAAAAAAATGAAAAATATTTATGATTATCATCTTTTTTTGTTCATCTCATTAATTTTCTCGTGGGAGTACAGATGTCAATAGATTTTACGTTAATATGCACATGCCGTCTCATATTGCACATTTAATCAGTGCTATTTAATATGGTAATTTAAGTTCATTCCCAATCTCATTTACCTGACAAGTTACTCTCTAGCTCACTTCTAAATTTAATTCATTACAACAAAATTTGATGATTGATATTTGTGACATTGACTTCGGCCTCATTCTATGGTAATTGAGTGCTAAGCTATCTTTTCAAATAGATTTCGGCAAAAGGTTTAATATCTCTTGTGGTTTGTTATAACGCTCTAATTCAGAATAAATAAAAGATTACAATTGATTAGGGGGTCCATATTATATAGTCTATGTTGTGTTATAAATATAGATGAATTGTATTATATGGCTCTCATAAGTTATTAATTGTCTCTTTTGATTTTTCTTTTCCAGAATTGTCGAGTCTTTTGATGATTCAGTAACGTTCTGTAGCAAAATATTTAATGTGGGAATATCTTTAAGATTTCTTCATAACTGCTCCAATTGGTATAGTGTGTCTGTTTATCGAAGTATAAGAACAAACGATATTCGTTGTCAATTACCTCTTGCATAACATAACATTTCGTAACTATTCCAAAAATAAAACGGTTGTAATTTTGTTTCTCGAAGATTGCTAGCAGTCATTAATCATCACCACTCTAATCCATCTCGTTTAAGTATTTATTTAATGGATCGGACAAGTGTTCGTAACTACTTCTTGGGACAGTTTATTTTCTTGTTTCTTTATCAGCTGGCTCATTAAAAGTTTAACTCATTATGATCAAAACTCATGTTAAAAGAATCATTATTCCACCTAACAAATACTATGTTCTTTGAACCCAAAAAGAACTATGTTTAAACTCTATGTAACAATTTTCAACTTAGTCCAAGTTGTTGAGCTTGAGCCACCAGTCCAAGAATATGACCAAGTTGTAGACCTTTGACTAGTCTTGCAAATGCAACAATTTACCCAAGTATTTTCAAAACAAATATTAAGAATAAATCTGAATAAAAGGCCCAAATTTATGACACACTCATTTGACTGCTGCGAATCTTGGTTGAGAGTTAAGTAATTGGTGACGGCCGACACTAGTTTATCGCAAAATTATATGAGTATGAATGGAGAACTCTACACGTTTTCTCGATTGATTACCTTTATACTATTTAACCAAAAGTAGACATTAGAATAAAAGATTTCATATTAAAGATGTATTTTCTATATTTCTCAAAAATACAAGATGTATTTTCAAGTTGAGCAGGACCAAGACAAAATACTTGAAGTGCAAGTTCAGTGGTGCAACTCGGGTTGTGGATGAAGACGTGAGGCTTGATTCACAAGTCATATCTAGGAGAGAATGTTTCAAGTACCTTGGATTAGTTATTCAAGGGAATACGGAGATTTACGAGGATGACACACATCGTATTGGGGCGAGGTGGATGAAATAGAGGGTCGCTTCTAGAGTTTTATGTGACAAGAATGTGCCACCAAAACTTAAAGATAAGTTTTATAGAGCGGTGGTCGGACCGACTATATTATATGGGGTTGAGTGTTGGCCAATCAAGAACTCCCATGTCCAGAGGATGAAAGTGGCTGAAATGAGGATGTTGAGATGGATGTGCGGGCATACCAGATTAGATAAAATTAGGAATGAATCTATTCAGGACAAGGTGTGCATGGCCCCTGTGGAGGACAAGATGCGGGAAGCGAGACTTCGATGGTTCGGGCATGTGAAGAGGAGAGGCAGAGATGCTCCAATGAATCTTTCATAGACAAATTTATTTTTGTTGTTCCTGTCTCTGAACTATTTATGCTATAAATAAAATGTATATTGATCATGTTTTATTTATTAAATTTTTTGTGCTCAGATATATGTCAAACTGAGCAAGCCTTTGCAACTAGCACATAAATATTCTTGTATGTTGGATACCATGTTAAGAAAAAATAACTATCTTTATATTATGGCTCCATCTTGTGCATATATTGGCGGATTTATTATTTTACAAATCGAAATCCGAACCGATAACCCAAAAATCAAATAAAATTAAATCGTTACTAGACCATTTACCCAATAACCCAACACCGATAACCCAATAACTTTTATTCGATTCGCGCTATCAGTTTTACCCCATAAATGCCAAGCCCTAATTTGGGTTGGAATTCATTGACCTAAAGTGGGTCAAAGATTGAATCTGAAAAATGGCGGATATATTTTTGTTTATGGTTGTTTTTATTCTTTAAGACATTCTTACTTTCACTCACTGTTTTAAAAGGCATTTTCGGGGCGAGCCCCGAGGCGAGGCATACCAAAAACGCCATGGGGCGATGGTGTGGAGCGAAAGTCTCAAGAGGCGTACTCCCAGCAATTCGGGGCGTACGCTCGGGTATCCGAGGCGTACGCCAGGGCGTTTGAGGTGCATTTTTTTAGTGAGTAGTAAGCCCCAGAGACTTTTTCAAATTAAAATAAAATTTGTTGAATAAGTCCTTCATATGATACCCAAATTCTCAAAAGTCAGTTTGGTAATTACTCAAAAGGTTTATAAAGGAACTCAAAAGTATTAAATTTAGAAGTCAAGACTTTTTTTATTGATTAAAGCTCTAATTCATGGTCTTTCCCAATTTTTTATCTTGTCCGCTAGTCTACTAATATCTCCCAAAAATAATAAATATTTAATATTTTTTACAAATACAAAGAGAACACTATTCTCCTTCATAGCAGCAAGTTCAAAATTCAAATTGCAAATTAATCATCCTTTTTGTTCCTCCATGTAGAAAATTTTATTCTTTTAGACTCAAGTTACTTGTGTTTGTAAGTAGCATATAATAGATTATTTTTACTAGTTTTTTGTGAGGATGGAGCACTTATATATATATATATATATATATTGCATATTTATAGTTTTCTTCAATTTTTATGCAATTTTACCTGTTTATAAATATTTACTATCATTATATTATTTTTTTTAATATTAAAAATTAAATATCTAAGGGGCTTACGCCACGTGCCTCAATGCTTACGCCTCGCCGAGACATATGTTAAACGTCTCGCCTTACGCCCACGCTTTTTAAAATACTTCTTTCACTATCTTCAGTTCCTAACTGATCCACGTCCAATTCTCGCTCAATAGTGAGTGGAAACGGTCGTTGGAAGAATAGTACCCAACAAGAGTCGGGGTCGATTTCCACAGGGAGTTTAATATGGATGTTAGGGTATACACTCGATGAGAGCAAATGAAATAACTAGATTGTACTTCCAAACAAGGGATTGTGTTTTCTATTTCTAAATTAACACTAACCGTTGTAAACTAGAGAAGAAACTAAAATGCGAGTGATTTTTTTTTTGTTTTTATCAAATGGTTTAAAAAGCCTAGGGATGTGACCTTCACCTAGGTGTTCGCCTAATGGGTTAAGTACGCTAATACTTGTTTTATTGATCGGGGTGTATTTTAGCTCTCAACTCTAAGTTACCCACTCAATACCTCTCGGTCATAGAGTGATTTTTTCCAATTTGGCTTTCTCAAGACCAAATGGATATCAAGCTAAATAGTTGATATGAGATCAAGTCGGGTTTTCCCTATCTCTAGTTCATACCCTTTAATTACTCTAATCAAATCCTTAATTAATCCAATTTCTTGTTAGCCAAGTTTTCCTAGACTAGGTCCCTCTTTCTCAAGTAAAGGCCAAGTCAAAAAGGCATGAATCAATGTTTGCAACCATTAATTCTAAAATTAAAGCATAAACAAGGCTAAATAATTAACACCCAATCATAAACAAGCATTAAATTAAATACCCATTAGGTTTATATACCAGAGTTGGGTCACAACCCTAGTAAATGTCTAGCTACTCATAGTAGAAAATGAAGAAAGTAAAGAAGAAATACTAATTAAAATGATAAACTATGATGTATTTTTCCTAAAATGGTCACAAATTTCCTAAAATAGTAAAATACAACAGCTACAACTACTGGAACTTCAAAACTTGACCTAAAAATATGACTCCCGTCTATTTATAGTGGCCCAAAATTAGCTGACAAAAATACCCCTAGGGAGGTTCTACGGCTGCACAATTTCATGTGCAGTCCGTACATTGCTTGGTCTTGCAAGGAATTGGAGTCTGCAGCCGCACAATTTGGTTTGCGACTACAATGCAACTTTTGTGGTCGCACAATTCTTATGCGGTCCGCACTTCAGACAAGGCTTCAGTCTTGGTCATTTGCACACTCTCTGAACTTTTTGAATTCTTGTCACTGCGGACCAAATTCTGCGGCCACACAATTCAAGTGCGGTCCGCACTTCTGCTTTAGGTACTTCAGAGCTGCTTTATCAATTCTCCGGTCCGCACTTGCTTCTGCGGACCGCACTTCTTGTGTGGTGTGCCCCTTCTTGCCTTGTGAGTCAGAGCACTCCTTTTTGAGTTGGATTTCTTCGTAAGAACCCAAATTTCCAACATTCCTACAATTTGCATACTTTCATTAGTTTGGGGAACATAAATCAATACTTTCGAACTAAAACAAAAGTAAAAAGGTACTACTAAGTGGTCAAAATCAACATTGATCAACTCCCCCAAAGTTAAGTTTTTACTTATCCTCAAGCAAATAGATTAGTTCC